TAGTAGTAGTATATATATATATATATATATATATATATATATAGTATATATATATATATATATATATATATATATATATATATATATATATATATATATATATATATATATATATATGCAGTAGTATATATATCCATGCATATGTATGTGTGTGGTGTGGTGAAGAGAAATTTGAGGATAGTATGTATACACCAAATTTCGAATAGATACCCGCGGACTGATATATAGTAGTGCTTACTCATGTTAAGTATATGAAACTACTCGAGTCGCCAACGCTAAAGGACTTGCAACCCGCCCGTCACCAATGCCCTTGTAGAGAAATATTCTATACAAGCACACGGGTAGTATACATATCAACACAAATAATTATGTGCTGGAAACTACATATATAGCTTACAATGTATCAAATTGAAACGACGTATATAGCTTACAATGTATCAAAGTATGCGTACTTATATATATGAAGATATGTATATATATATATATATATTAATATCTATCGATCTATCTATCTATATATATGTGTGTCTGTGTCTGTGTCTATGTCTGTATATATATATAGAAATATATATATATATATATGTGTGTGTGTGTGTGTGTGTGTGTGTGTCATATTTATGGACATTTATATTATATTTCATGCACACACACAAGTATATATATATATATATATATTGGAAAAATCATACACGCACCACTGAAATCAGTCACAACCTTATACTTATAGGTATCGTCCACAATGGAGAAGCTGCAGTGCCCTCTAGACACCAAGCTACAGCTGGTGCCATTGCTGGGCCACATGTTCCACACCCCGGCCATGGCCTCTGAGGCACGCGCAGTACTGACATCACTCTCGGAGACATACCCTACGCGTGACTTTGTGCTGAGTATATTGATCACACTGACTCGCCTGACACTGAGGTCTCTGGTGGACACTCATGCGCAGATGGAGCTGCTGACCACGCACCTTCGAGTGGGTATGTGTGGCTGTGGCTGTGGCTGTGTTATTTCTGTTTCTATGTCTGTATCTGTGTCTATGTATGTGTCTGTGTGTGTTTATATCTGAATATGTGTGGCTATGTGCTGTGTATATGCACAAACATGAGCATGTGTGTATATGCACATGCATGAGCTTATGTGTATATATATGCACTTGCATGAGCA